CTTACTAATAAATACATGCAATGCATAGTGGAGGTTAACCATCATTTACAATAATACAGTGTATGTTCTATACAGTGTGTCAGTTCAGGAACTAAAAGGGTCCTAAGACTAACCTCTGAGGAACACCAAACAACTGTACTGGCCTGGCTAAAAAACATTAATGAGGACAGTGTTTCTGTGAACTGTGTTTCTGAATTCGAGAAGGATGTCAAATACGGCTCTCTGTGCAATGCATAGTAGATATACATTTTATGGGAAAAAATGTGAATAGTGCTTCCTGTAGTAGTACTTCGATTAGAAATAAATTTCAAGTTACCAACCTGCCAAGACTCAACTTCTTGAGATAGTGCCACCTTGTGTCTGATAGTGTTCAGAAGCTGCTGGTTGAGTGCATCACGTTCTTGTCGGGCCAAAATGATCTCCTCTTCCAAGGTACTATGGGTAATAAGGGAAAAAAGATAGGGTTGGATAAAACAATAGACAATAAATAGTTTCAATCTATCCTCAGACTATTATGCAAAACATCCCCCATTCATCACATATTGTTAGCTTATCACTTTATCTCTGACTTTAAATATGACACACAGAGAACAAGAAGATAGAGGTTGTAAAGCATTTTGATCCAGTTCTCACCTGTAAGTAGGTTTGCCAGGACTGTTATGAAATGGCTTCACCTCCTCCCTCAGCCCTTCTAATTCAGTTTCTCTAGACTGTAGCTGACGAAAGAAAAAAAAACATAGCATATCACCTTAGATGAAGATACTCTGTCTATATGCATGCTATTGTGATGTCATTGTATCATGTAGCTAACCTCTTTCTGTAACCTCTGAATTTCTTCTTCTTTTTCTTGCAAAATGGCTGAATGGGCCAAAATGGTTTCTTTGGCCTGTTTGAGATCAAAATGAAAACAACCAGTCAGCAGAAATAGAAAGTGTGGTGAAGAGAAAAGCTGGTTGAGGAGAAAAACAAACACTTACTTACATAAAACTCAAAGACTTTTGATAGTCAATATACATTGCTTGCAGTGCTGTAAACATTTGCTACAAGCTAAGTTGAAGCATGCACACCTTTCTTTTTACTAAACGGGTTGAGTGCTACCTGGGACTGTTGGATCTCACTCTGAAGTGACAAAGGGAAACGGGTAGTCTCCCCCAGATTGGCTTCTTCTCCCAAGGCTTCAACCCTTTGCTGTAGGGTACGGTTGACTGTGCGCAGCTGAAACACTGTGCTGTGCTCCTGTTCCAGCTGTGAAAGAGCCAGAGACAGCCAGACTGAAATTCTCTAGGGGTGGGTGGACTCTGGCCAGCGAAATCTGAACCTGAAACTTAGGCTGCCCCAATCCCAATTCTTATACAATTTAGGACCAGTGGTATGCAGGATTAGACTTAGTTTGCCTCAAATCACAGTATGTTGAAAATCGTATGTCATGGTGGCCATATGGTACACTTTATTCAGTGAATTTTCATCTCTGCCCACAATGCCTCCCAGAACAGAATTGTCCATTTTGCTTTAAAATACAATTAAATAATAAAAAATAAAACATTTTTAATTTTATATAGATATTTTTTAATTAAGCCATTTTATTTGTGCATGCATCAAACAGCAAAGGATGAAGTTGCTAGAAGCCACTGATCTACCGTTAAGGTCAAAGGGTCAAAGTTTAGTGGGTTAGCATAGTCCAGTTAGCCCCAGCTGGTAAATGTCATAACCATACCATCTTTTTCCATTGAAACACATTTAAAAATATCCATGTATTCTGACTAAACATTTTTTCAAGCAACAGTATGGTTCAAAGGTTTGGGGTAAGATTTTTTTTTATGTTTTTGAAGAGGCTTATGCTTATGTATTTGATCAAAACTAGACTGATTTGGTGCTAAAAAAACATTTCTTATTATTATCATTGTGAAAAAACAGTTGTGCTGCTTAATATTTTGAATTGTTATATATTTATCAGGTTTTTTTGATGAATAGAAAGTTCAAAAGCATTTATTTGAAATATAATTTTTTGTAACAAATGTCTTTATTGACTCTTGATTTTGATCAATGTAATGATTGTTTTATGATGTTTTACAAAGCATTTTATTGGGTTATTTAAGTTATTTGTTTTATTTTATTAACAGTTATGTTGCTTAAAATTTATGTGGAACACTGATGCATTTTTTTCAGGATTTGATGAATAGAAAATTATATTTATTTCATAATATTAAATTAGACATTTTACTAGTGCTTCATTCTTTGTGGTGGACTCTTGTGTGAAATGGACTTCCCAACAGTACTGGTAATGGGAGTATGTAGATTAGGACGAGCCTTGGTGCTGCTTCACATTACTAAATGCTACAAATCAATTCTTATGTTAAATGTAGGGAGTAAATTCTAATTGTATGCAGTATTTATATGAGACATCTATCCTATATATCAGGGGTGGCGAACGTCGGTCCTGGAGAGCCGCAGCCCTGCAGAGTTTTGCTTCAACCCTAATCAAACACACCTGAACAAGCTAATCAAGGTCTGAATGGTTACTAGGAAGCTACAGGCAGGTGAGTTTTAATTAGGGTTGGAGCTGAACTCTGCGGCTCTCCAGGACCGGAGTTCGCCACCCCTGCTATATAGAGATTCACGCTTGCTCCCCATCTTCTATAAACTTTCTTTCCCAAATTCTATCATCTGGCACATATTCCTCACCTCCGTTTCTTTATCTTTCAGACTGGTCTGTAGCTCAATCACCCTCTCTCTCAATCCTTCCCTCTCAGATCTCAGCCGGTGGTTGTCTTCTTGAGTTGACTTCAGTCGTTCATCCATATTTGTACAGCGCTCTTTCAAAACACTGTTCTATGATATATGATCAGTAGTGAAAAATAACACAAAAACATCGAATCAACATACTTTCTTTGATTATTTTGCTATAAATCAAAGTTGATCATGTCAAAATTAATTGGCCTGGCCGATATATTGGTCTAATTCTACTTTGATCACTAATTTTGTGTCTATACCTCTGCTTGCAGACTGTCCAGTCTAGCAGAGCTTATGGATTTTCTAAAACTTGTATCCTCCATTTCTTCTCTCAAAGAACGAAGCTCAGTACGCAAAGTATGCTCTAAAGCCACTGCCTGGAAGAAAAAAAAAGGAGAAAGAAAAGTTTAGATGTAGTCAAACATTATTTCTAGGACTGCTTCTGACATCAGACAGATACCTAAACCTGCTGATCTTCATTCCAGCCCTGTATCTAACTGTATCCGTGTTACTACGTCACTAGACATGTTTACCCACATAAACCTGGATGCCTCTGACAAGATTTGCAAGAAGTTGTAAAAAATAGGAAACTGGGGACATAAATCTTCTGATTGTCTGGTCACCTCTGCCAGCTGTTCCACAAGTTTTTGGTTGTGGTTGGATAGCTGAGTCAGCTGCTCACTTTCTTCATGACGCCGGTCACGACTCTGAATGCGTTTTTGTTCCAACTGCGCACGCAACGCTGTGATGTCAGCCTGCAGTTCTGCTTCCCGCTGACTTGCCTCGAGGTCCCGCACCTCCAGACGTCGCTGCACCACGTGTTTCTCCTGCTGCACGGCCTGTTGTACAGAACAAACTTTATCTGTAATTCACACACACACAAAAGAGTTCTAATGCTGTTAACAGGTTTGATTTAGAATGATATCTACCTAAATGGGTCTTTTATGGTGAAATGTTTATTTTGGGGTTCTAGAAGCTGTTTTTGAAGGTGGTGTAATGGGCATAAAGTAACATTTATTACAGGTTCTATCATTCAAGTTTTTAGCACTATTTTGAGACCATTGATACAACCCTCTCTAAATGAAGAGCCACCATAAAATATCACTGTTGCTGCATCATATGCAACATCATTTCACTATGCAGCAGATATAACCACTCAAAACCAATCATGTTTGAGCATTTTCCTTTTTATCTTTATTTCTTGTACTTCTTGGCAAGTCCTCTAGTAGATGGTTTATAGTTTTAATACTATAGTTTTAAGCTTGTAAAGAATTTTGTTAAGAAACGTACCGTTTTTTTTTGTTTGTTTGGTTTTTTAAAGAAGTCTCTTATGCTCACCAAGGCTGAATACATTTTATCTAAATACAATAAAAACAGAAATATTGTGAAATATAATTACAATTGACAATAACGGTTTTTCATTTTTTATATATTTTAAATGTAATTTATTCCAGTGTGAGCAAAGCTGAATTTTCAGCAGCCATTACTCCAGTGTCACATGATCCTTTAGAAATCATTCTAATATGCTGATTTGGTGCTTACTTATTATCAGTGTTGCTGCTGATCAGTACTGCTAAATATTTTTGTGCAAATCATGATATATTTTTCAGGATTATTTGATGAATAGGAAGTTCAAAAGAACAGCATTTCTCTGAAATAAAAACATTTCATAAAAAGTCTTTACTGTCATTTTCGATCAATTGAATGTGTCCTTACTGAATATCTGAACTAAGTATTAAATAAATGAATGGTGGTGTAAAGAGAGAGAGATGAATACTTTTATTCAGCAAGGATGCATTAAATTGATCAAAAGTGAGAGTAAAAATGTATAATGTTACAATAGATTTCTATTTCAAATACAGTAAATGCTCTTTTGAGCTTTCTATTCATTAAAGAATCCTGAAGAAAATATTTGACAATTTCCACAAAACTAGAAAGCAGCACTCTTTCTAACATTTATCAAAATTATGAAATAAGAAGAAGAAATGTTTCTTGAGCAGCAAATCTACATATTATGAATTCTGAAGGCCCATGGGACACTGAAGAAGTAATGATGCTAAAACTTCAGCTTTGCATCACAGGAATAAATGACTTTTTAAAATAGAAAACAGTTATTTTAAATTAATCATTTTTCACAATATTACTGCTTTGCTATATTTCTGATCAATTAAATGCAGCCTTGGTGAGCATAGCTTTACTTCAAAAACATTGCAACTTTATTAAAACGATATTGTTTATATGTTAATGTGTCTTATAGATTCTACTAGAAGCTTTGTGCTAGTGGTGTGCATTGTGGCCATGCTGCTGATTATTTTTTCTACTGTGATTTTTTTGCCTTTTGGTTGTTTTTACCACATGAGGCTTCAAATCAAGAATCTCCGCATTCCAAAACCTTTGGTATGTTCTTCAGTACTTGTTGAAGTTCATAAAGCTTTGTGTATGTCTTAATTTGACTTTAGAATTTAAGTTGCATTTATCAGTTGTTATATTGAAATCATTTTGTGAACATTATTTGATTTTTTTTAACATGACCCTTCCAAGGTGTTTCATAATTTTATATACAATATACATTTATTATGCGTATATAGGCCCCAAGTCAAACTTTAAAAAATCTGAATTTCAAAGACACAAAATATCCAACTATGTGGCATCTGCAAACAAATGAGGCTAGAGCTTTTCTAGCAAATAACTTTGTTTTCTGAGCCACTTTTTCTATTATTTTAAGTGGTATAAAAATAATAATAAAAATACAACTGTTCATTATTAATGTTAATGCTTTAACTAAAGTTAACTAATGGAAGCTTGTAAAATGATGCAAAATAAATGAATGCAATGCATGGTAGAGGTTTACTATCCTTTACAATATTTGGTATGTTCTTCAATACTTGTTGAAGTTCATAAAGCTTTGTGTATGTCTTAATTTGACTTTAGAATTTAAGTTGCATTTATCAGTTGTTATATTGAAATCATTTTGTGAACATTATTTGATTTTTATTAACATGACCCTTCCAAGGTGTTTCATAATTTTATATACAATATACATTTATTATGCGTATATAGGCCCCAAGTCAAACTTTAAAAAATCTGAATTTCAAAGACACAAAATATCCAACTATGTGGCATCTGCAAACAAATGATGCTAGAGCTTTTCTAGCAAATAACTTTGTTTTCTGAGCCACTTTTTCTATTATTTTAAGTGGTATAAAAATAATAATAAAAATACAACTGTTCATTATTAATGTTAATGCTTTAACTAAAGTTAACTAATGGAAGCTTGTAAAATGATGCCAAATAAATGAATGCAATGCATGGTAGAGGTTTACTATCCTTTACAATAATACAGTGTTTGTATGTCCTTTCCAGATTGTTATTCCAGGATATAAAAGGGTCCTAAAACCAACCTCTGAGGAATCCCAGCCAATTACAGTGACCCCGCCAAAAAAAGAAATTAACGCAGAGAGACATTTTTCTTCATCGGAGGAAGACTCCAAGGATGGCTCTATGTTCTATCAACCGAGAGAAAACCTTACATCATCCATCGCCAGTGTCAACCCACCAGAGCAAGATGAGGAGGCTGAGGCATCAAATCAGTGTGATGAGTACACACTAGCTAATGATATAGAAGATAGTGAAGAAAATGAAATATCTGAAATGGATGATGACAGTATGCATCCAGGTAGTGAATCTGAATCGGGATCTTTCTGTGCTAATACTTTAAACAATTCAAGATCATCCAAAATACTACAAACGGTTACTGTGAACACGTTTGTAAACTCAGAGATGGATAGCAATTATGCAGAAGAAACTCTTTCCTGTTCTTCTGGCAGTGGCTGTGAAAGAGAAGTGCCTGCTGAAGAGGAGGAGGATAGCTTATTCTTGCCTGATTCTAACTCAGAGAGTGGCTATGAACCAAGACATGACAAAGTATTATGAACTTCCAAATCTCTACTATCTAAACTATGAATACCCTTAAAGAGGATATACATATCCTGAACCTACATCCAAAGGTGGAGTCTGCAACCAAATTCAAGCAAAAAAGTATCCACCTTTCACCTGAGCCATGCAGGTAGACATGCAAAACTGAAAATTTTGTGATGCAGAAGATCAGAATATCCATGAGGGCATAACACTTGGTATAGAAGCAAAATCTGGGGGTTGTTATACCTGGAGAGAACTATCCATTAATATTCCTGCATCAGGAACTCTTGGATCCTACAGATATTATGATCCGTTTAAACTCTCAAGCTGAATTCTGTATGGTCAAATAGAAGGAACTTCGGACCTAAACATTGCTGGATAATGGCCATCTTGTTGCTGATTGCCCAGTTGAGGTACTATTAGTGGGTCATGTTGAACACAGTTTGAACTATGGAAGTGTGCCTACTTCAGGAATAAGTTGGAGCTACACATTCTGCAGCGTGTCACTGTGATGCAACTCGTACATACTCTCTTTACAGCATCCTTTCACAAGTGCTTAAAAAGTATATTTTGCAGTTCCCACAATTATTTTAATGGAATTCTTTCTTGCTCTTTTTTTCACACTTTTTATTTATTACAGTATTTGTAAAAATAATGTTTGGAAATAGAATGTTTGGCACACTAACACAAAATATATAAAAAATCTTCATGTATCTTCCATGACAACAGTTTTACTGCGCTGGTTTTATTTTCATGCCGTATCCTACCATATGTATGTCAGTGTGTTATGTACAAACACTTGTTTTCTGTAAAGCACTTTCTAAACATTTTCTATTATAAAATGGTGCTACAATATATAATCAAAGATTTTGTTATCATCATGAGTCATTATGAATATTGGGGAACTGTCTTGTGTTTGAAAAATTTGACAGCCTGAGAGTGTGAAAGTTTTACATGTTTACATAAAATGTTACTGACTGTAATGCTGCATAATGCCTTACTGAATGATGCCTTTAATGGTGCTAAAGAGACCATTTATTTTATGGTTTAAGAATGATTAACCCCTCCTATAAAAGAGACGAGAAAAAGTAAATGCTATACATTTATTTTTATGTATGATTTTGAAGTTGCAAATAAATATTGAAAAACATACATATGCAATAGTGCCACTATGGAGTACATATAATTTCTTTCTACTGTCTTTATATTTACACATTTGGGTGATTTTTTTACATTTGTAGAAAAAAGTGAGAAATCTCTCATTACTGTATTCCCTTTTCTTCTTGTCCCTTCTTATTTGTCCTCCAGTCAGTCTCCCCCAAACAGAGAAGAAAAAAATCCTTTCCTTCCATCTTCTCCACGTACACGGAGTGATCTGGTGGTGCGAGTGCCTCTTTGAAGCCCTGTCCGTTCTTTGTCATTTTCCTTTTCTTTTTGTTGGAGTTGAACCTGATGACATATCACTAGACGCATGTCCTCCTGGAACAGAAATTTGTTGGTCAACAAAAGGAAAGCAAAACTAGATTTTAAAATGTTCTATGTATAATCAATACTTACTAATAAATACATGCAATGCATAGTGGAGGTTAACCATCATTTACAATAATACAGTGTATGTTCTATACAGTGTGTCAGTTCAGGAACTAAAAGGGTCCTAAGACTAACCTCTGAGGAACACCAAACAACTGTACTGGCCTGGCTAAAAAACATTAATGAGGACAGTGTTTCTGTGAACTGTGTTTCTGAATTCGAGAAGGATGTCAAATACGGCTCTCTGTGCAATGCATAGTAGATATACATTTTATGGGAAAAAATGTGAATAGTGCTTCCTGTAGTAGTACTTCGATTAGAAATAAATTTCAAGTTACCAACCTGCCAAGACTCAACTTCTTGAGATAGTGCCACCTTGTGTCTGATAGTGTTCAGAAGCTGCTGGTTGAGTGCATCACGTTCTTGTCGGGCCAAAATGATCTCCTCTTCCAAGGTACTATGGGTAATAAGGGAAAAAAGATAGGGTTGGATAAAACAATAGACAATAAATAGTTTCAATCTATCCTCAGACTATTATGCAAAACATCCCCCATTCATCACATATTGTTAGCTTATCACTTTATCTCTGACTTTAAATATGACACACAGAGAACAAGAAGATAGAGGTTGTAAAGCATTTTGATCCAGTTCTCACCTGTAAGTAGGTTTGCCAGGACTGTTATGAAATGGCTTCACCTCCTCCCTCAGCCCTTCTAATTCAGTTTCTCTAGACTGTAGCTGACGAAAGAAAAAAAAACATAGCATATCACCTTAGATGAAGATACTCTGTCTATATGCATGCTATTGTGATGTCATTGTATCATGTAGCTAACCTCTTTCTGTAACCTCTGAATTTCTTCTTCTTTTTCTTGCAAAATGGCTGAATGGGCCAAAATGGTTTCTTTGGCCTGTTTGAGATCAAAATGAAAACAACCAGTCAGCAGAAATAGAAAGTGTGGTGAGAAAAAAAAAGCTGCGTGAGGAGAAAAACATGCACTTACATACTTAAAACATAAAGACGTTCGATAGTCAATTTACGTCACTTGCAGTGTAGTAATTATTTGCTACAAGCTAAGTTGAAGCATGCACATTGCACACCTATCTTTTCACTAAGCAGGGGTTGAGTGCTACCTGAGACTGTTGGATCTCACTCTGAAGTGACATAGGGAAGCAGGTAGCCTCCCCCAGACTGGCCTCTTCTCCCAGGGCTTGAACCCTTTGCTGTAGGGTTCGGTTGACCGTGCGCAGCTGAAACACTGTGCTGTGCTCCTGTTCCAGCTGTGAAAGAGCCAGAGACAGCTAGACTGAAACTCTCTAGGGATGGATGGACTCTGACCAGCGAAACCTGAACCTGAAACCTAGGCTGCCCAATTCCCAATTCTCGTACTATTTAGGACCAACAGTATAGTGCAAGATTAGATTTAGTTGGCCTCAAATCATAGTACTTTGAAAATAGTATGTCACGGTGGCCATAAGGTACACTATATTCAGTGTATTTTCAAAGTTTGCATCTCTTCCCACAATGCCTCTCAGAACAGAATTGTCCGTTTTGCTTTAAAAATATATATATATATATATATATATAAATAATTTTTTTAATAAAAATTAATTAATCAAAATGAAACAATCTTTTTTTTAAAGTATAAAAGTCAATCTTTTTAAAATTTAGCCATTTTATTTGTGCATGCAGCAAACAACAAAGAAGTTGCTTGAAGCCACAGATCTATTAATTGTTAAGGTCAAAGGCTCAAGCTTTAGCAGGTTAGCAAAGTCCAGTTGCTGCTGCTGGTCATAACTACAGCATCTTTTTCCACTGACAGCCATTTAAAAATATCCATATATTCTGACTAAATAAAATATTTTACAAGCAACATACAGTATGGTTTTCATTTTTCAATTTTTTTATGTTCTGAAAGGTGTCTTATGCTCAGCAAGGCGTTAATTGATCAAAAATAGACTGATTTGGTGCTAAAGAAACATTTCTTATCATTGTTGAAAAAAGTTATGCTGCTCAATTCTTTTACCAGTCATACATTTCTTCAGGATTTTTTTGGTGAATAAAAAGTGCAAAAGCATTTATCCGAAATTTATTTTTCTGGTAACAAATGTCTTTACTGACTCTTGATCAATTTCGATGCATTTTATTGGGTTATATAGGTGATTCTTTTATTAACAGTTATGCTGCTCAATATTTTTGTGGAACACTGATGCATTTTTTCAGGGTATTAATAGCTATTTCATAATATGAATTAGACATGTTACTAGTGCTTCATTCTTTGTAATGAACTCTTAAAAGTGTGAAATGGACTTCCCAACAGTACTGTAGTGTTTGAGTTTGTAGATTAGGATGAGCCCTGGTGCAGCTTCACATCACTAAACGCTACAAATCAATTATTATGTTGAATGTTGGGTGTAAATTCTAACTGTATACAGTATTTATATTTGATATCAATCCTACATAGAGATTTGCTCCCCATCTGCTATATACTTTCCTACCCAAATTCTATCATCTGGCACATCTTCCTCACCTCCGTTTCTTTATCTTTCAGACTGGTCTGTAGCTCAGTCACCCGCTCTCTCAATCCATCCCTCTCAGATCTCAGCCGGTGGTTGTCTTCTTGAGTAGACGTCAATCTTTCATCCATATGAGTACAGCGCTCTTTCATAACCCTGTTCTATGATACAGGATCAGTAGTGAAAAATAACAGACAAAAACAGTGAATCAACATACTGTACTTTCTTTGATTATTCTGCTATAAATCAAAGTTGATAATGTCAAAATATCAGAAGATGAATTGGCCTGGCCGATTTATAGGTCTAATTCTACTTTGGATCACTAATTTTGTGTATACCTCTGCTTGCAGACTGTCCAGTCTAGCAGAGCTTATGGTTTTGCTAAAACTTGTATCCTCCATTTCTTCCCTCAAAGAACGAAGCTCAGTACGCAAAGTATGCTCTAAGGCCACTGCCTGGAAGAATAAAAAGGAGAGAGAAAGGTTTAGATGTAGTCAAACATTATTTCTAGGACTGCTTCTGACATAAGACAGATACTTAAACCTGCTGATCTTCATTCCAGCCCTGTATACAACTCTATCAGTGTTACTACGTCACTAGACATGTTTACCCACATGCATCTGGATGCCTCTGAAAAGATTTGCAAGAAGCTGTTAAAAACAGGAAGCTGGGGACTTAAAGCTTCTGATTGGTCACCTCTGCCAGCTGTTCCACAAGTTTTTGGTTGTGGTTGGACAGCTGAGTCAGTTGCTCACTCTCCTCACGACGCCGGTCACGACTCTGAACGTGTTTTTGTTCCAACTGCGCACGCAACGCTGTGATGTCAGCCTGCAGTTCTGCTTCCCGCTGACCTGCCTCGAGGTCCCGCACCTCCAGACGTCGCTGCAGCATGTGTTTCTCCTGCTGCATAGCCTGTTGTACAGAGACAAATAAACTTTGTCTGTAATTCACACACTTTAAAAGAGTTCTTTAATGATGTTAATAGGTTTGATTTAATGTAACCTTTATAACAGGTTCTCTATCATTCAGGTTTTTTGGCACTATTTGAGACCATTGATACAAACTCTCTCTAAATGAAGAGCCACCATAAACTATTACTGTTGCTGCATCATATGCAACATAATATCACTATGCAGGAGATATAAACACTCAAAATCAATAACGTTTGCCTCTTTATCTTTATTTCTTGTACTTTCTTGTCAAGCCCTCTAGTAGATGTTTACCACTGTGCAGTTTTCAGCACCTTAAGAAATTGTTTTACACTACCATTCAAATTTGTTTCTCTTATTGCTCACCAAGGCTGAATTCATTTAATCTAAATACAACAAAAAAACAGCAATATTGTGAAATATGATTACAATTTACAATATTGTTTTTTCCTTTCCAAAATATTTTAAATGTAATTTATTCCAGTGTGAGCAAAGCTGAATTTTCAGCAGTCATTACTCCAGACTTCAGTGTCACATGATCCTTCAGAAATTATTCTAATATGCTGATTTGCTGCTTACTTATTATCAATGTTGAATACATTGCACTGCTGAT